ATCTTTCACATCAAATTCTTACTGTTTCAATTAATTCAGTTAGAATAATAAGAAACTGTAGAGTTGTTATCATTAAAATGAAATTTCAAATTAGTATTAACAAACTCTATATTTCCGCTGCTGAGGAAGCAGAAACTGCATCTGAAGTGGCGTTACTTTTCATCTCAGATGGTTACAAGAACTTTGATGGGTTTTTTGCCATCTTTCAGGAGAGCTCAGGTAAGACAGTATTATCAGTTTGCTCTCTATGAATACAGTTAATTTTTCAGGTCAGGGCATGGATCAAGCCATCTAATCTCTTTCATCTCTTTCTTTCAGTGCAAAGCATTTGTTGTTGCATTACAACTAACAATGTGCTAGTCTGCAAATATATAATTTTGTGTTTGTCTGACATCAGTTATTCAATTATTCAACTAAACTGTCAAAATATTTTTTATATATACACAATTTAAAATATGTGTCTGTGGGGTGTATATATATATATATATATATATATATATAAATGGTAATTTTTCCCCTAACCTTATTAAATGTCATCTTTCACATCAAATTCTTACTGTTTCAATTAATTCAGTTAGAATAATAAGAAACTGTAGAGTTGTTATCATTAAAATGAAATTTCAAATTAGTATTAACAAACTCTATATTTCCGCTGCTGAGGAAGCAGAAACTGCATCTGAAGTGGCGTTAGATGCATTTACACAGACAGTTTGATGAAGTTGAGGTGCCATAAATGCATTTACACTGCAAAATGTCAGAATCAGAAGAATCAGAATCAGAATAAGCTTTATTGCCAGGTATGTTTACACATATGAGGAATTTGTTTTCGTGACAGAAGCTTCCACAATGCAACAGAATGACAATGACAGAACAAAAACACAGATTAAAAAAAATTATAATAAATAAAATAAATAAATAAAATATAGAACAAGTAAATAAGGAATACAATGTACACATTGGCAATTGTATGTACAGGTATATTACAATAGATAGTTTTGTATGAACAGGTATATTAGTGCAAAATTGAAATGTAGACTAAGTATGTCTGTTAGATAAATAAGTGTGTAAGTGTATAAATAGTGTTGTGTGATCCACAGTTATTGTCAAGTGTTCATGAGATGGATGGCCTGAGGGAATAAACTGTTCCTGTGTCTGGTCGTTCTGGTGCTCAGTGCTCTGTAGCGTCGACCAGATGGCAACAGTTCAAAGAGGGAGTGTGCTGAATATGAGGGGTCCAGAGTGATTTTGAAGCAGGGGGGTTCCTCCTGAAGTCCACGATCATCTCCACTGTTTTAAGCATGTTCAGCTCCAGGTTGTTAAGACTGCACCAGACAGCCAGCTCTTTAAACTCCTGTCTGTAAGCAGACTCGTCACCGTCCTGAATGAGGTCGATGAGTGTGATGTCGTCTGAAAACTTCAGGAGCTTGACAGAGGGGTCTTTAGATGTGCAGTCGTTGGTGTAGAAGGAGAAGAGCAGTGGGGAGAGGATGCAACCCTGAGGGCACTCTGATGTCCTTTTCCAGTGTGTATTTGGCCTGTTTACACAAGACTTTGTCCCCCTTCCTGTGAGCATCTTCTTTGGCCTGACAGAGCTGTCTGAGTTTTGCAGTGAACCATGGTTTGTCATTGTTGTAAGTTAGATGAGTGTTTCTGCCTGTAGGTCGGTATAAGATGAACTAAACAGTGATCAGAGAGCCCCAAAGCTGCCCGTGGGACAGAGTGAGATACGTCTGTTTTAATAAGTGAGTCATTTATTAATTCATTCAACCGATTCATTCAAACGGCTGATTCATTCAGAAACGAGGCAAGTGATTGTCTTTATGAATGGGCCACTGAATCATTGACTCACTCGATTAATTCAAAAACGTGGATTCATTCAGTAACGAAACACCGCTGTGTTGCTCGGAGACACAGTTCTGCTGTGGCTTTGATCGGAACTATTTTCGTCAGTGAAATTGAGCAAAAACAGTCAATATTTTGTCTAAAATCTAAGTCACTTAATTTTAACTTATTGTTTATTGAAATACTATTGTATAACACGATACAATTGTGTTGATATTGATATTCGGGGAAACTTCATGGCCGTATAAATTTTGCTTACCTAAATCATATTTTGTAAATATCTTTTTTTTTTCTACTGCAGAATGCATCTATAAATTTATGTGAGTTACTTGAGTATGTGTGCTGTCTTTCTCACGCACTCACTCAGGCTGTGCAAGCCTCATCTGGCACGACATAAATACATTATCAGTCGCCGTTTACACTAAATTCAATTAAAATTAGAATCATTCTCACACGAAACGACATGTTTACACGCGACTGTGAGTGTGCGCGTGGTTGTGACGTCATTGCCGGTGCCACTGGCAATAAAAGGATCGGCTCGGAATCGACAAGATGTGAGACTGACCGGCCGGTCACCGAGCCGGGCCGGTCATGCTAAAAACCGGCCAGTCAATCGGTGCATCTCTAATATATACACACACACACACACACACATTTTAAAATGTTTATATATGAAGAGTTTATTTGCAAAAACCGATAAACACCACTTTAAAAAAAATTTGCTAAGTGCCGTGCATTATTCTCCACATATAGCGCGATCGGAACCCTAAACATATTTTGTCAAAAAAGCCGGTATTTTCCCCTTTCAAGGCATCGCGAGTTCACGTTTTACTACAAGCACCCTTGTTTTTTGTGAACAGACGCTGATAAGTCCATTTTAGCGAATCAGTGCGCAGTATTCAGGTCAGGTGACAAGGCTGCTTTCACTTTAAAAAAGTGAAAATATTTTCACTAAAATGTTTTAACTTTTTTTTTTTCACGGTCGTGGGTTCGATTCCCAGGGAACACATACTGGTAAAAAATGTATAGCCTGAATGCACTGTAAGTCGCTTTGGATAAAAGCGTCTGCTAAATGCATAAATTATTATTATTATCAAATTACTTTGAAAAGACGCGCTAGCTGAGAGGAGTTTCGTCAAAGCTAACTGAGGATGGATAATTTCGATGAACCCGTGATATCTTATTCAGGGCGTAAAGAAAAATAAAAGCTGGCACTTTTTCCACGATACCTTGAAAAAGCAGCATGTTTCAATGGTGAGGGAAAATGTCTCAGGTTACATATGTAACCATGGTTCCCTGAGAAGGGAACGAGACACTGCGTCCTCTAGAGGTCGCTTTGGGGAACGCTTTCAGCGTGACCGGTGTCTGAAGCATACATCTAAACACGACAATAACATTGGCCGGCGACAGCCTGTGACGTCATCACCCGGTGTGACCACAGTATAAAAGGGCGCTGGGAGAACACGTCATCCGCTGCTTCGTCTGAAGCTTATGTCCGAAGCATGGCAAGGGAACTAGAGGACAAAGTGTCTCGTTCCCTTCTCAGGGAATCATGGTTACATACGGAACCTGAGATGTTCCCTTCCGAGGAAACTTCAAACGGCATTCTCTAGAGGTCGCTTTGGGGAATGATATACCCACGCCGCCATGCTGAGGGGAGTGCATGACAGAAACCACGGTGAGCACTAAGTACCAACTCTACCATAGCCATGGGAGTTGCCCCAAGGACGTCTTGATGGCTGTCAGTGACATTATCCCTTTCGGCCAAGGGCCTGAGCTGCATACCCTATAAGAACTTACCTGTTAAGGGCTTGGCTAGGAAGCCCAAGCCTAGGGCAGAGGTCAAGGCTTTGAATCAGAAGAAAGAGATTCCTTTAAGGGGATACGGCCAGGTGTCTAAAAACCAAACCAGACCCTGGCCTGCCACCCAGGGGGGCTACCGCCGGTTCTGAATAAACCTACTCAAAGAACTAAATTGACAGATCTTTGGTAGCAACACCCTGTTCAGAAATGTATCTTCAGAGATACACAAGTTGAGTGGAGGCCAAGGCGAGGACTGGGGCCTAAACCAATTCAGAGAAAGGGAACGAGGCTGACAGCGCGTAACCCTTACCATACAGGATTTTAGAAAGTGTTAGACAGTGTTCTAGGTTATTACGTGTGGAGTTTTTATGTCCTATAATTAACACCTGTTTTTTCAGAATTTAGCAGTAAGAAATTACTCGTCATCCAGGATTTTATATCGACTATGCATTCCGCAAGTTTTTCAAATTGGTATGTTTCGCCGGGCTGCGAAGAAATATAGAGCTGAGTATCATCAGCATAACAGTGAAAGCTAACACCGTGTTTCCTGATGATATCTCCCAAGGGTAACATGTAAAGCGTGAAGAGTAACGGCCCTAGTACTGAGCCTTGAGGTACTCCATACTGCACTTGTGATCGATATGATACCTCTTCATTCACTGCTACGAATTGATGGCGGTCATATAAGTACGATTTGAACCATGCTAATGCACTTCCAGTAATGCCAACAAAGTTTTCTAGTCTATGCAAAAGAATGTTGTGGTCAATAGTGTCGAACGCAGCACTAAGATCCAATAGCACTAATAGAGAGATACAACCACAATCAGATGATAAGAGCAGGTCATTTGTAACTCTAATGAGAGCAGTCTCAGTACTATGATACGGTCTAAATCCTACGTGACTGTGGCACGCTCGCAGAACAGACTCCGAAGCATCTGCTCACAGATGCCAAGAAGGGAGCAGCGTGCTTGCAAGAGGCCCTTCATGGTGAGGGGAGCACATCTAGCTCACTTAACAAGCAACCCGCCAGGGTGGCAGGAGATGGCCCAGCTGCCTGGCATGATTGCTATCCGGAGCTCATAAGAGCAGAGGCCCAACTTCAAAAATAGAAGGGGGACTCAGACGCTCAGTTCGAGAGGGGCGTGCTCATATGAAACCACCAAGGGCACTGCTAAGCTCGACCCACAAGGAGAGGGGCTCAACAGGGAGGCGGAGAGAGGCCTAACAACCTGAGGCTGCTACTCAATGTAGCTCAAACAAGCGGAGGACTCGATGAGAGAAGTCCACAGATGCTCAATCGAGAGCAGCAGGCTCAAAGACAACCCTCCGAGGTGAGGGGAGCACTGCCTGGCTTGACCCAAATAGAGGCAGCTTATCAGGGAAGCAGCAAGCGGCCCAACTACCTGATGTCACTGCCACGGAGTTCAAGAGCAGAGGGTTCAACCCCTAGCGAGGAGAGAGAGGAACCCAGCTCGACCAAAGCGATCAATATCCCAGGGTCCAACTGTCCAAGGAGGTGACAGAGACGGACCTAACACTCAGTTTGTTGCAAATGGGTTATTTCGGGAGCAGCACTCTCGGCTCTCAAGCTGAGGCGGGCCCTTACAGCACATACTGGGAGCGACTCATAGCTAACCCTCACAGTGAGATGAGCACTTCTCAGCTCAACCAGAAGGAAGCGCTAGATTAGAAGGGGTAACCCAGCAGGGCCCAATAAGAGACAGGTCTCATGCTCTCGATGCATCTCGATACAGAGCGTGGATCACAAATAACCAGACCCGATAGAATCTGAAGAAATAGCGGGACCCAATAACTATTCATGCATACAGATCTTATTGCTCCTCAGAGCAGAAGCATACAAGAGGGGTTTCCGCAGAAACACAAATCCCTCGTACCTCAGGGAACGCAGTGTACTCAAGCCCACTCCTCAGAGGGCCGATTACTGGTTCAACCATAAGGGCAGTGTGACAGGAAGGACCCGCGGGCCTGACCGTCTATGGAGTGTTGAGTTCCTCAATGCCTCAGCGAGAGGAGCTCTAGCTCAGAGAACGTGCATGATGGTTAAGGAAAGACTCAGGCTGCGTGTCCAAGCCGAAGATGAGGGCTATCACCAGCCTGTATCCAGTACCGATGAGTGAAACCATCACTATAATCGGTCAACAGCAGGAGGCCCCGACTTAGCACGGGGGGGTCAAACCTAAAAAGTCAGAAAACAGAGCAAGATCCGTGGTTTGACGCAACTCAGCCACCTCATCAGGGGATAGACCCTGACCTTTATCCAGGTCTTTCAGCAGATCAGCCTGATAAGCCTGAAGCACCACCATGGTATGCAACGAGGCTGCAGCCTGACCTGCTGCAGTATGCAGTATGCCCTGCCATTCAAACGAGATGTATCCTCAAGGGGTTTGAACAGCAGGGAGGGAGCCTTAAGAGAAGATGTCTCTCCCATAGAGAGATAGCAGGCCAGCGTCTCTTCAACAGGGGGCATCTTCTCATAACCATTCTCACGCATCCCCTCAATGTTGGCATAACTAGTATGCTGGAATCTATGGATGCGAGACGAGAATGGATTTTTCCAAGCCTTGTGGATCATGTGGAGATCGGGAATAAATGGAAGGCTAACCTGAGCTGGAGGGCTATGGCTAGAAAGAAAATGCTTGTCGAGGCGGCCTCTAGGTGTCACTTTCTTGGCCCGCTTCCAAGTCAAGCCTTGCTGTGGCGCAATCCATAACCTCAAGCAGCTCATCATACGCAGGGCAGGAGGATTGGGAGGACTCAGTCTCGACTTCTTCGTCCTCATTTGACATCTCCTGCTCATCCTGGCTTTGAGTCAGCAGAGCACTAGACGATGGATCAGACGATGTAAGAGAGATAGCATCGTCGTCCAGTAGCTCACTCTCGTCCGTGACTGATGAGCGCGAAAGGGAAAGACCCTTTTTCAACTCATCAACCAGGTCCATCTGCGATCCCCACAAGCTCATTTTCCTCCGTGCCTCAGCAGCGGAGGGTCCTGAACCACGGGGAGATGATGGCTGTCCCTCTTTCCTCAAAAAGAGAGACAAACGAGAGCGGAGCTTTTTTATAGGAAAAACTCTCAGTGCACGCAAACTGCCCCCTCGAGGACATTGTGTGTGCTCTTCGACCAAACAAAAGATGCAAAGATCGTGTGTGTCATCAGGTGTCAAATAACGAGGACACACACTTCTTAAATGCCTTACTAGTGCTCGCCATGGTAAAGAAGAATAATCGTTCTTACCAGAAATGCACACTTCAAACAAAACAGTCCTTGAAGACGAAGAAGAGAATGACGTATTCTCCCGGCGCCCTTTTATACTGTGGTCGCGCCGGGTGATGACGTCACAGGCTATTTTCAGTCTAATTTCAGTCTGGTAAGCCAGATTCCCATGGGGATGCAGAACAGCTACGAGGGTATGAAATATGTGGAGTGGGAGACCGGTGTACAGATTTAAGTCATGGTCATTCATCAGAATAGGAGGCTTGAAAGTATCGCACTGTGTTGACTGGTTTACATAAGTTACACTGTGTTGTCTCTTGATGTAACAATGCTCCTCGAAGATGTGGTCTTCCCACTGTGTTCCAACAGAGGCAACGTTTTTAGATAAACAGCTGTGGTCATCAACATCTGATTGCTTGGGACTGGGCACAGATGCAAGACTCTCTTCTCCAGGTCTCAGCTCATCCATTCCAGAGTGTTCTTCGTAAACACCAGCTCCTGTAAATACAGACAAGGCATAATACATTGAAGCATCTAACATTAGCTGGGCTATTATTTGGTACAGGGTGAGTTTCTATTTCGAAAAGGGTGATTTTTTTTAGATTTATATTTGATTTTTAGAATTTTTTGAAAATAGTTAATTACTAAAAATGTTTATACTAATTCATTTTGGGATATAATAATGCAGAATTTTAGTTTAGCACTTATACAGGTGCATCTCAATAAATTAGAATGTCGTGGAAAAGTTCATTTATTTCAGTAATTCAACTCAAATTGTGAAACTCGTGTATTAAATAAATTCAATGCACACAGACTGAAGTAGTTTAAGTCTTTGGTTCTTTTAATTGTGATGATTTTGGCTCACATTTAACAAAAACCCACCAACTCACTATCTCAACAAATTAGAATACTTATTAAGACCAATAAAAAAAACATTTTTAGCCTTCTGGAAAGTATGTTCATTTACGTACATGTACTCAATACTTGGTAGGGGCTCATTTTGCTTTAATTACTGCCTCAATTCAGCGTGGCATGGAGGTGATCAGTTTGTGGCACTACTGAGGTGGTATGGAAGCCCAGGTTTCTTTGACAGTGGCCTTCAGCTCATCTGCATTTTTTGGTCTCTTGTTTCTCATTTTCCTCTTGACAATACCCCATAGATTCTCTACGGGGTTCAGGTCTGGTGAGTTTGCTGGCCAGTCAAGCACACCAACACCATGGTCATTTAACCAACTTTTGGTGCTTTTGGCAGTGTGAGCAGGTGCCAAATCCTGCTGGAAAATGAAATCAGCATCTTCAAAAAGCTGGTCAGCAGAAGGAAGCATGAAGTGCTCCAAAATTTCTTGGTAAACGGGTGCAGTGACGTTGGTTTTCAAAAAACACAATGGACCAACACCAGCAGATGACATTGCACCCCAAATCATCACAGACTGTGGAAACTTAACACTGGACTTCAAGCAACTTGGGCTATGAGCTTCTCCACCCTTCCTCCAGACTCTAAGACCTTGGTTTCCAAATGAAATACAAAACTTGCTCTCATCTGAAAAAAGGATGAATTACTGAAATAAATGAACTTTTCCATGACATTCTAATTCATTGAGATGCACCTGTACACTTTTAATTTGCATTACGAAAGACAAAATGCTGACTTTCCACATTTTATAAACCGAAATGAGTTTATGAGCAAATACTTTTAGGTATTATTTTGTTAAATGTTGTGATTTGAGCTACAAATGGTAAACATTTAAGGTGCCATACTGTTGCAGCTGGTAAAATGATCAGACAGACCACACTCTGCTGCCAAAATATTTAGTCAATATTTAAGAGCGTTCACACTTGGGTAAACACTTTACAAGAACAAACTCAGAGAATCAAAGAATCTTGGATTTAACGTTGGCATGGAGTGTTCAAAGTTAAATTCAAGTCAGACTCGTTTAAACGATTCATCACGCTGAATAAAACCAATATGTGACCCTGGACCCTAAAACCAGTCATAAGTAGCACGGGTATATTTGTAGCAATAGCCAAAAATACATTGTATGGGTCAAAATTATAGATTTTTCTTTTATGCCAAAAATCATTAGGATATTAAGTAAAGATCATGTTCCATTAAGATATTTTGTAAATTTTCTACCTTAAATTTTGAACTACAAAATATGATTGTAATTCTTCATAAATAACATCATATATGTTTTAAATATTGCAATAAACACTAAAAAATCATAGGCGCTTTTTGATTTTTTTTCAGAATGTTTTTTTTTGAAAGTCTGTTATTCAGGTTCTATTTGCTCCAGCTCCCTGCAACTTATATTGTTTGATTCCACTAGGTGCCAAGATGTACCAGAAAAAAGAATCTTTCAAATAACAGTTTCTAAACAGGAGTTATTAAATTATAACCGAAGGGAGTAAAATTGTCCCTTTTTTGCATCTAAAAGTGCCTTTGTGAGTTTCCTTTGCAAAAACAGGTTTTATAAAACATATTGCCCCCAGAATCCTATTTTACTATGTGCCATAGCACTTTTCTTGATTATTGACTTAATTTATTTTTCATTTTTATGTTTGTCTAAGTAGTAATATACAAAATGGCATAAGCGAATTATACCAAATATCAAATTTTGTGTTTTATACAATCATTTTTTTTCTTTCAGGAGACACAAGACTCTATAAATTGTAAAATCCATGTGGTTTATTACAATCTAAAACAGAATCCACATCCTCCAGCTTTATATCATTCCATTTATGTGCATAATTTTAGTCCCCTGTCCCCTGCATTAGCATCCTGCCTGCATCACCTCTGCATCAGCATCCTGCCTGCCTCCCGTAGATGAGACGCGAGCTGCGCCTCCGTGCCGCTAACTGCTGTTGCCACGGGCTCGCGGCTGCTATCTGGTCTTCAGAATGTGAAACAAAGAAATAGCTGTGTATCAACACAGCACTGTAATAATATCCATGTATATTTACTGAAACGCATCCTGTACTGTACTTTACTGTCAATACATCGTTTATCAGATTGTTAGCTGTGCTTTTACGTTTCAAAATAATGATTCTATCAAAAACGGAGCA